TTGGCGAACTATGTACATTAATGGGCACATTTATTTTTACTTTTGTGCTGTGATTTAATAAAGTGTTTTTAATGGGATTTTGCTTTGTGGGTTCTAGTGCACACCTAAAGAGACTGTGGAGTCTGCTGGTCTAGGAGAAGAAACAGCTATGAAGGATCAATTTACTAACTGCTAAAACCAATGGCCACTACTCCATACTCTTACTACTTGAACTCTCTGCGGCTTTTGATACTGTTGACCATCCCCTCCTCCTCAAAAAACTCCACTCTCTTGGCCTGCGAGACTCTGCTCTCTCCTGGTTTTCCTCCTACCTATCGCAGCCCTCTGTCAACGTTACCTATGACTCTGGCTCCTCCTCTCTACTCCCTTTTTCTGTAGGGGTCCCTCAAGGTTCTGTCCTTGGACCCCTTTTCTTCTCCATGTACACCTCCTCCCTTGGTCACTTGATAAACTCCCATGGCTTTAAGTACCATCTCTATGCTGATGACACACAAATCTATCTTTCTACTCCTCACCTCACCCCTTCAGTCTCCTCTCGCATTACTAACCTACTAAGTGACACATCGGCATGGATGTTACTCCACTTCCTCAAACTCAATCTTTCCTAAACTGAGCTCTTAGTATTCCCTCCAGCCCATGCCCTCTCCCCAGACTTCTCCATCAAGATCAATAATACAACCATCAGTCCCTCCCCTCATGCCAGGGTACTAGGTGTAATCCTAGACTCCCATCTGTCCTTTCAACCCCAAATCCCATTGCTGTCCAAATCATGTACACTTCACCTCCACAACATCTCCAAGATATGCCCGTTCTTAACCTCTGAAACTACTAAGCAACTTTATCACTCTCTTGTTATCTCTTGCCTTGACTATTGTAACTCCTTCCTCATCGGCCTACCTCATCACAGGCTATCCCCTCTTCAAAACATTAACAATAACATATAAAGCCATTCATAACTCTTCCCCAAATTACATCACCAATCGTATCTCCAAATATCACCCAAACCATACTCTCCGCTCCTCGCATGACCTCCTGCTCTCTAGCTCCCTTGTCTACTCCTCCCATGCTCCTATTCAGGACTTCTCCAGAACTTATCCCATCCTCTGGAACTCTCTACCCCATCTTATCAGACTATCTCCTACTCTGCTCACTTTTAGGCAATCTCTGAAAACCTATCTCTTCAGGGAAGCCTATCCTGCCCTCAGCTAATAATGGAATCTTCTACTCCTACCAGTCCATCCCCCACAGTTACTACCTTTTGTACCACTAGCCCCTCCCTCTTAGATTGTAAGCTCCAAGGAGCAGAGCCCTCCTAACCCTCTTGTATTAAACTGTATTGTTGCTGTATTGTCTCCCATTATATTGTAAAGCACTAAGCAAACTGTTGGGCGCTATATAAATCCTGTATAATAATAATAATGTGTTTTTCCGATCAGTAAAATGAGAGGCAATAAAAATCGGTGAATGTGGTGTCTTGTGGAGGGTGGAAGTCACTTGATGCACTGTGGTGGAAGCAATCCAATGAACAAGATTAGCTTTGGGATTGAAATACACAGAGTGTTTTATGAATATAATGGACATTTTGATAAATAGGACTTCTGAACTGAGAATTATCATCACAGAGGTGGACTGTTGTTTTTTCACCACAATCACTGGATGTTACATCGAGGTTTAAGAGTGCTGCCTAAGCGCAAATTCTATTTACTCTTTGTGGTTTTTAAATACTGACTATTGTAAGCACCCCATCAACGTTAAATGGTTTGTATGAGCCCTCAAACTGCTACATATGCAGGACAGCTTTAAAATAACAAAAAGAAACCAAAAAAATAAAAATTAATGCAGCCACCACATCCAAGAATTGGTAAGCTGCAATAGAAAAATGTTTGCTTTTGGGTTTAATACCGCTTTAAATGAAAAGCAAAAATGTTGATGACTTTACTATAAAATAGATTATTTCAAGCTAACAAATGAGAATGTTAATGGTAACAAATTAAACACACTGATGTTAAAATAAAACAAAAGTGCTCCATGTTTTATTGCAAATCTAAATATTATTGGATATTTAAGTGAACAAATAATATTATTTCTTTTTACTTATGTTGCTGCTGGAAGGGACAGCAAGAGTTTATTATCCCTTTTAAGTCAAAACATCACAGTTATCTTTGTATTATCTCCTCTAGCACAAAAACAACACTGTACATATTCATCTTTGACAGCATATTACTAGTTCAGCGACAGCTGCTTACTGGCCTCCTGGGCAGCAAACCTTTTATGCTGCAACATGCAAATTAGTCAATTGCCTACAAATGTTTCAGATTGGTTTATGTGGAGAGAAAGAATCATGTGTGAGAATTATCAGACTGTTCTTATTGGAGATGCTTGTGCTAAAGGCAGTGTCATAATTTCCACTTAATACCTTTTTGTTGTTAGTGAAGCTTCAAGTGATTTTCATAAGCAGGTTCACTTGCCATGACAAGATACTGACACGCCTGGGTGATTAACTATAAATGGAACCAGCTTAGCCTCTGGACTAAATTGCAGATAAGTGAAAAATAATTTGATTCTTTTTCAATACAAAAAGTTTTGTACAGAGGCAAAAAACACAAACTTATGTTATAAGGCAAAGTACAAGAACTTTTAGAAAATTTGCCATTTAAAATTGTACTTTAACAGAATAAAAAAAAATTGTGTGGCTCATTAATTTTGCTATCGATCAATGCTTGGAGTTTAAAGCACACCTTAAGTATAACTTCTGCTCTTTTGTCTTTTCCACCCTCCTTCTTACACAATTGGAATTTTTTTAACAATATATACATTTTTTTTTAGTTGCTGCTGTGATCCGACTTCCTGTTAGAGGGTAGCTGCAGTGCCGTGAAAAAGTATTCATACCCCTTGAAATTTTCCACATTTTGTCATGTTACAACCAAAAATGGAAATGTCTTTTATTGGGATTTTGGTGTCCGTTTATGACACAGAGAATAGCTGCAATTCAGAGGATCGCAGCTATTCTCTGGTCATTCACAGTTTATGACACTCAGGAGATCAGCGGAGAACATGTTCAGCCCTTCACTGGAGATCTGTGTTCTCCCTCCAGATTCTCCAGCCCAGAGCTGGAGAATCGGAGGGACCGCAAACTAAGCGGCAATAATTTACCTCTGCTTAGTAAACTGATCTTTTACTGTAATCTCACGAGATTACAGTAAAATCAGCCGTTCTCCAGCGTTTGGAGACCGTTCTCCCTTCATTCGGAGAACTGCTTCATAAAAGGCATTCACAGGAGAACTGTGTTCTCCGAGAATGCCGGAGAACTGAGCAGCGATCTATTACCGCTGGTTCATAAACGGACACCTTTATGTAATAGACCAACACAAAGTGGCACACAAAATTGTGAAGTGGAAGAAAAATGATAAATGGTTTCACGGGGTGGATGGCGTGTTCAGGGTGATGTGCAGTGTTTTCCGCCACACATAGCTCTTTGCTTTTAGGCCAAAATGTAAAATTTTGGTCTCATCTGACCAGAGCACCTTCTTCCACATGTTTGCTGTGCCCCCACATAGCTTCTCGCAAACGGGACTTCTTATGGCTTTCAACAATGGCTTTCTTCTTGCCACTCTTCCATAAAGTCCAGATTTTGTGCATGACTAATAGTTGTCCTGTGAACAGATTCTTCCACCTGAGCTGTGGATCTCTGCAACTCCTCCAGAGTTACCATGGGCCTCCTGGCTACTTCTCTGATTAATGCTCTCCTTGCCCGGCCTGTCATTTTAGGTGGACAGCCATGTCTTGGTAGGTTTGCAGTTGTGCCATGCTCTTTCCATTTTTGGATGATGGCTTGAACAGTGCTCCGTAAGATGTTCACAGCTAGGTATATTTTTTTTTTATAACCTAACCATGCTTTAAACTTCTCCACAACTTTATCCCAGACCTGTCTGGTGTGTTCCTGGCCTTTAAGCTGCTGCTTGTTCGCTAATGTTCTCTAACAAACCCTGAGGGCTTCACAGAACAGCTGTATTTATACTGAGATTAAATTTTCACACAGGTGGACTGTACTAATTAGGTGACTTTTGAAGGCAATTGGTTCCACTAGATTTTAGGTAGGGGTATCCGTGTAAAGGGGGCTGAATACAAATGCACGCCACACTTTTCAGATATTTATTTGTAAAAAATTTTGAAAACCATTTATCTTTTTTCCTTTCACTTCACAATTATGTGCCACTTTGAGTTGGTCTATCACATAAAATCCCAATAAAATACATTTACATTTTTGGTTGTTACATGACAAAATGTGGAAAATTTCAAGGGGTATGAATACTTTTTCAAGGCACTGTATGTTCATTTCCACAGTCCCACTTTATACTAGGAATGTAGCCACCCTCACTCCCAAGACTAGGGACTGTGGGACTTGTAGTGTGCACTGAGCAGTGTACATGACTGCAATTAATGTGCACTGCTCTTTCAAAAGAAAAGGAAAATGTCAGAGGAAAAAGTGAGAGGTCTGGGAGCTTACTGAGGATGTTACAATATGGAAAAAAAACACAATAAAAACAATTTAATAAAAAATAGATTACAAAACCAGTACGTAGTGGATGTATATGGATTAATTTAGGTTGGTTCAAACTTGGTTTGCTCATTCTTAACCATGGGAATAGGTTAAAATGGTAAATATTTTTCTGATCATTTGCCCAATCTCCCTCTAACATAGTTTTTTAAAGCATAGATGGGCTTATAGAACCCCTCAGCATCACAGAGCAGCAGTTATGTGAATGTATGAGAAAGTTGATCATGTAATAGTATAGATAATGTAAAAACCAGACAGGTGTGTTTATGCAAAACTAAAAAAAAAATAGATTTTTAGATATATAACCACCTCCCGCCCGCCATATAGTAATATGATGGACACAAGGTGGTTCTCTCGTTCCGATCACGGAAAGAGCCGAAGATGTCGGCTCGGTCATGTGATCAGCTGTGTCCAATCACAGCTGATCACATGTAAACAGGGAAATGCCGGTTATTGGCATTTCTTTCCTCTCGAGCTGTCACGCTGACAGCTCGAGAGGAGAGCCAGTAAACAGCTTTCCGCGGAGGGGACATGTACACTGATCATCAGGGCACTGATGATCAGTGTAGCCCCAGCAGTGCCTTGTGTCAGTGTCCATCAGTGCCTTGTGTCAGTGCTCATCAGTGCATTGTGCCAGTGCCCATCATTGCCACATCAATGCCACATATCAGTGCCTACCAGTGCACATCACTGCCACATATCAGTGCCCATCTGAGCTGCCTTTCAGTGTCACCTGTCAGTGCCAGTCAATGCCACCTATCAATGCCAATCAGTGCCACCTATCAGTGCTGCCAGTCAGTGTCGCCTATCACCCCGTCAGTGCCGCCTATCAGTGCCAGTCAGTGTCACCTAACAGTGCCAGTCAGTGCCGCCTAACAGTGCCAGTCAGTGCCACCTATCAGTGCCGCCTATCAGTGCTGCCTGTCAATGCCCATCAGTGCCACCTACCAGTGCCTCATCAGTACCTATCAGTGTCCATCAGTGCAGTCTATCAGTGCCCATCACTGCAGCCTCATTAGCACACATCAGTGAAGGAGAAAAATCACTTATTTACAAAATTCTATAACAAAAACTAAGAAAAAACATTTTTTTTTCAAAATTTTCAGTGGTTTTTGGTTTAAGAAAAAAATAAAAAACCCAGAGGTGATTAAATACCACCAAACTAAAGCTCTATCTGTCACAAAATATGATAAAACTTTCATATGGGTACAGTGTTGCATGACTGCGCAATTTCATTCAAAGTGCGACAGCGCTGAAAGCTGGAAATTGGCCTGGGCAGGAAGGGGTATAAGTGCCCTGTAGGCTAGCGGTTAAACAGGAGCTACAGTCTCCTAACCAAAATTAAAATAAAAGCATCTTTGTGATTCTTATGACTCGCTGCATTAAATTTGGATATTTCTATAACTGTTCACATATTATGTACTTGCCAAATCTGTCATTTATTTTCTCCTCCTGGAATGCTGGCAGTGGCCATCACAGATGTGGACATCTGAAGTCCACTCCTATGTATTTCTGGGATTCCTTGCAGCTGGCTACCCAGCCTGCACCTCCCGTTCTTGCGCCTGCACAGTAACAACACTGCGGGGCACACTTTGTTAAGGTTAGAAAGCCCAAAGACTCCTGGGATTGATGACACAAATATCTCAGGAGTCAACGGGATAAGCAGATTACGTCACTGGTGGCTGCTGTGATGGTAATGCATACTAAGCTGTGTGGAAAAGTAAGGACAAATGTTCAGATTCAGACAGGTCAGTTTGTATCACAAGTTTGTGAATGGCAGCAGTGGTCCCCTTCCCTTCATTCCCCCCAGGAAGCCTTTGGTGAAATACACAAACTATTAACTGATGCCAGAGCCTTATCATGACTACTAGCCCAATCTCCTATTCCAATCTGAAAACCCTAATAAACCTGTCACCCTCGCAACCTTGAACTAAGTGGAATACACACTTCTGATAGATGGCTTATCAGCCAAGATTCTAAAACTTCAGCATGTTTCATAACTTCAGAAATTATGACAGTATAGCCAGAATAAAGTCATATTCACCTTCATCAGTTATCGGATAGCATTTTGAACTCAAACCTCCCTATGTTAGGAGTTTCCAGAGTGGATTAGGCCTTCACACACCTCTTATGAGAAATAGATGTTTCTCATATCCCAGGAGTCTATGCGATTTTACCTTCATTTTGAAGGTAAATTCATGCTGGACAATAATCTGCATGGTAGCAGACTGTAAACGATAGGTATTCAGAAATATGAATACTTAAAATAAACTGTGTTTAGGACTTATAAATATGGTGACCTCCCAGAACCCACCCCTTAAACCGGATGATCGGTAAGATGGTCTCTGTCAACATTCCCCTTGATGTCAGATAAAAAAAAAAAAAAAAAGATTGCAAGCAGATTTGATAGCTCCAGTTTTTTATCATCAACGAAGGAACATCTGTCAAGTTATGAGAGCTGAGAACACCTTGCTTATTGACTGAACTCTGCTAAAACCAAGGATTTGGCAAGTATTCTCAACTCCTTTTTAATTCTCTGTTCCTTTATGACTTCTTTATTTCTTTGTAACATCTTTTTCTGTCAACACTTTATTTGCTCCATTTTGACCTTTTCAGTATTAAACCCCATTTGGAAAAGTGTTTAAATTGTCTCTAAAGCTTTTAATGCACATAATCCGTCTCTTGAAGAGTGCTACTGTATATAATATTCCTCTGAATATACCTGTCTGTGGTGACAGTGTGTGTTACAGACATTTAATCTAAAATCATAGTTGCTATTGCGAAGATTAGGATTTCCACCTCTCCAAAAAAGGGGGAGGTGGAAGCTTAAAGAGTTTATAGCTAGAGAATCTTTATGCTGGGTGCAGCTGAGAGTGGCATTGTTACGTAAGTGACCGTGCATTGTGAGATTGGCCCATCCTTTGTCATGAGTTGGTGAGAAGGGCAGGGGTCAGACACCGTGTTTGTCACAGCTGCAACCAGAAGTTCCAGGGAAAGAATTAAAAAAAGGTACGTTCAAATAAAATGTAAACATTTCATTATCCAATGCTATAAGCACCATGGGTGGCCATTAGGATGGGCATAACTTTGAAAAATCTGTGAAGTTCTGCTTTAAACAGTTTAGAAATCTGACTGTTTTTTTTCCACTTCAGATTAGCATTTTTTTTTACACAGGGAAATTTTAAAGTAATGACACTTCCAATATTTATAAATACTGAAGTGTATTTCACAATGGGCATTAAGGCCATAAGATACAATGTACTGAAATTTGGAAAAATTATCATTTTTAATATTTTAATTTTAAGCACTTTAGTTGTGGTCTGTGCCCAAAATGTAGATTTCATCCCTTGCCAAAAAAGCCCCTTTGTCAACAAGTCAAATAAAACATAGTGAATTCAGAGTAAATTACAGTAAATTTTGCAATTAGAGCACATTATGTTATAGCACATTAGAGGTGGGTGAACGATATGAATACACAACACTGCAAAAACCTCAGGGCACATGGTTTACAGATCATTGCAACACAAAAATATCAGACTGCAATACTGTACCGAATATGTTTATGATGGATGGAAAAATATGTGTTGGCTTAGGCTACTGGAAAAAGTAACATTTAAGCTTTCTTATGTAAAGCCAGCTTTAAAGTGGAATACAAGAATTGGCACAACCCCCCTCCAACTGCCCTTAATCCACTCAAGAAGAATGGGAGCAAGTAGGGGTGGAAATTAAATCCTAGGCTGTTTAAACTTTCCTAAAGACAGTTTTGTGCTTGCCATAGAACAAACATGCACGCTTTTGTCATTGGAGAAGAGAGGGAAACTCGATATAGTTCAAAGTAAAGCAATTATGACCTGCCACAAAAAAAATTTTAACACAAGAAGACGAAGTCCACCAGATATTCAAACATGCCTTGATACAGCCATATTGGCTGGATCAAGTGACCCTTCTTTGTCTGTATGCACTAGGCATGTGTAAAATTGAGAGTTTTCATTTCCCTGAAATTTCAGGAAAATCAGAAGATTTTGGCAAATTTCCGCCACTGTGAAAAAATACACTGGAGCAGGTTGAAATAATTTTAGCAAGTGCTTGAAAAGTCTCTGTAGAGCTTTAGAAGCTCATTTCAACTATCCTGTACCTGTTATTGTGATACAAATCTATCCCTTTTTTCCACAAAAAAGAAAAACACAAAGATCTAATACACACATAAATACAACTACAAAGGAACACTAAATGGCAAACTAAACTACCGTAAATGCAACAAAAAAGCCCTATAAATAAATTTAGGTTTCTTTTTCAACCAAATTTTTCCTAAACAAATCAATAAGTGTAAAGCCGACCCCCAGATCAATCCACTCTTACAAAACAGACATGTACAGATCAAATTTGCTCATAAATGACCTTTATATTTTATCAAACATACAACCCTCTAGATGATATCTACTGAAATTATGATCTAGAAGAGGTACTGTATTATTAAATTACCCCCATAAGTCCTGAAGTTCAGCATGTAAAAAGAACTTCTATGTATACCTAAAGCCTAGAGCTTATAAATGCTAAGCACCAGCTATGAAGCAAAAATTGGGTCTAGTAACAAGTTCATCTTGTACGGCCACCATACCTCCAAATTAGGTAATTCTATTCACTCAGCCTTTGGAAACACCCAGGGGATCAGAAGTTGCTACATCATACCAAACAAAGCAAACACATTTCAGTTTCTCATTAAAATGGGTCAGTCTCTCCTATAATGAAATATGTGTCTTCTGGTGAATGAATGTGTCCTCTAGCAAATGTCAGTTCAAAGCACAACATTAAAATCAAATGGTATAGGTCATCCGTGTTCTGTATGTGGAGTCATGGTATTTTGATTCTGTAGCTGTGGTTGGGCTATTCCAAAAAGACAAGACATAAATGGTTACAAGCTTCTGATACCAAAAAAAAAACAATTACGTTGGTTTATCAATATTAATGAACACATACGTGCAATCCTAATTAGAACAATAAACTGTTTTATATATGAGAATATATTTGGCTTGTTGTTCTTTACCATCATATTCTGCTTTTGTTGTATGCAGGGTTTTTGATCACATGCATAAACATACTGTATATTCTTCAAAGAAGAACTCAACACAAAAACTTCTCTGTTATTAAGAAATATCAGTATGTCTCTCCATTTCAATGGCTTCACCAGGGGAATTAGAACATAAAGGTGCCAAGTGCATACCTTTGTGATTATGTGACAGAAAAAGTAGACAATTCCCTTGATAAAGCCATTAACATGACAAAAACGCTCAGATTTCTTCATCTTTTATTTATGTAGTTTAGGGTTACGAACTAAAAAACTAGTCCTTACTGACTCCAAATAAGGAAATGATCGAGAAAGGAAAAGGTAGTTTTTTTAAATATTTAAAAGATAGCAAACAACAACGAAAACTAGCATCTCTCTTTGTCTCCATCTATTCTTTTATCTACTCTAACTTGGGCTACCTCTAAATATTAAGATTTCTCTTGTTCAGCCCCATGGGCTGAACAAAGAGAAATCAATACATTCCCCTATCCACACGTGGATGGAGAAATCTGCCCTACTGACTATTGTATTCTGACAGCTCCTACTCCTCTGGCTGTCAGAATACCCACATTGTGATTGCAGCTGATTGGCTGCAGTCAATTTTCAGGTGAGAATTTTCCCAGGGCCTTTGATTTTCACAGTCTGTGGAGCCAGGTGGTGCTGAAAAGCCTACCCATGGCTAGAATTTCTGAAGATTCAATAAGAATCAGTCAAAATTTGAACAGTGTAGGACAGCATTGGCCTGTACTGGACAAAAGGGTGACGAAAAAGAAAATACATGGATTTCGAA